ATTAGGCATCTTTATTTGAAAGCTGTTCTGTCAGGTAGTGATGCAAAATTGACCTCTTCTCAGTTTGGAGTAACTCCCGAAAGTCACGGAATAGAACTGACATAAACCATGAATTCAGTGGTTCCCAGAGTATAGACTAAGACCTCTGGCTGTCCATAAGACCTTTCAAGGAGTCTGAAATATTTTCAAAACCATATTACAATCCATAGTAGTTTGAAGAGTGTTCTCCAAGAATCTGTGTCTACCCAGAACTGTGAATGTGTCCTTATTTGGAAAGAGGGTCTTTATATATGTAATTAGGTAAGATGAGTTCATACTATATTAGAGTGAGACCTACATCCAGTGACTGTGGCCATATAACAATGCAATGTTAGGAGACAAAGGGAAGGAGGCCAGATGACCACAGAGGCAGAGACTGGGATTGGCATGAGGCAGCTATAAGCTGAGGCAGCTATAAGCCAAGGCACACCAAGACTGTGGCTGCCACCAGAAGCTAGGAGATGGTCAGGAACAAATTCTCCCTCAGCTTCCAGAAGGCACCAGTCAGTCCTCTAATGCCTTGGTTTCAGACCTTTGGTTTCCTGAACTGCAAGAAAATTACTATCTTGTTTTAAGCCATGCAGTCTATGGTAATTTGTTATGAAAGCCCCAAGAAACTTAGATTTTGAAACCAGGGAGTGGGGTGCTACTGGACAAATATCTTAAAATGTGGAAGTGGCTTTGCAGTTGGGTAAAGGGTAAAGGCTGGAAGAATTTTGAGTCACGTAGTAATAAAAAAAAAGTCTAGGTTATCTTGAAGTGATATGGTAGAAATATGGAAACATGGACAGCAGAGAAAGTGGTCATCTCAGAGAATTTCTATTTCATCAGGAACAAAATGTTGATAGAAATATGAACATTAAAGGTGCTTCTGGGGTGCCTGGGTTGCTCCACTTGTTGAGCATCTGACTTCAGCTCAGGTCATGATCTCACAGTTCATGAGTTCAAGCCCCACGTCGGGGTCTGTGCTGACAGCTCAGAGCCTGTAGCCTGCTTCAGATTCTGTGTCTCCCTCACTCTCTGACCCTCCCCTCCTCTGTGTCTCAAAAATGAATAGGTATTAAAAAATAAAGGTTCTTTTGGTGTGAACTCAGATGGAAATGAACATGTTGTTAGATCATGGAGGAAAACTTATAAGATGGTAGAAAACTTGGCTGGCTTGTGTTCTGCTTTTGGGTTAAAGTAGAGCTTGTAAACCATGATCTTGAATATTTAGCTGAGGTTTCCAAGCAAACTATGGAAGACGTGGCCTAGTTTCTTGGTGCTTATAGTAAAATGCAAGAGGAAAGAGATAATTTGAGGAAGGAACGGGTTAGCAAACATGACGAGTTTGAACATTCACAGCCTATCTATTCTGCAAAGGCATGCCAGGAGAGGTCACCAAGCATGTGTGCTCGAAAACGTGAGATTAGATTTGTGACCATGGATACAATCAAGCCTCACAGGAGAAGCCAGGAATAGAGGCGCCATTATCCAGGAAGGACCTGTGGAGAAGCCTCATGTCTAATGGTGTGGCTCTTGACACCCATGAAGACTGATAGGTTTGTGAGGATGTTACATCAGCAGAAATGCTGGGCCTGGCAGGGATAGAGCTGGGACAAGAGGAAGGAAGGCTGCCAGACTTTGAGGATTCTATAAGCAGGAAATGGCCTGCCCAGAGGGTAAGACTGTGTCCCAGGCTGCGGACAGAGAGGGTGGGCCAACAGGGGCTCTGAGGGTCTAGAGGTTGGGGCTGGTGCAGTCTCTGGGTGCCCAGAGGGCTGATCAAGCCACAAAAGATTCTTTTCAGGCCTTGAAACTTCATGAAATTTGCCCTGCTGTGTCACAAACTTGGTTTAGACCAGTGGCTCTATTCCTTCCACTACTTTTTGGAATGTGACTATCTAGCCTATGCCTTTTCACCATCGTATGGTGCAAGCTGACAATACGTTTTTTAGTTTCATATATCCACCAATGGAAAGGAGACCAAGGCCAGTCAGAACCAGAGTCTAACCCATACTTGATTTAGATGGATGGGATGTGAAACTTGCGAGTTGATGAGAATCTGGAGTGAATTCTGGAATGGGTGAAAGAAAAGTTTTGGAAATGTTGGGATGGGATGGATGCGAATGTTGGGGGACCAGAGGGCATATTACACTGGCTTTGTCTCCACATAATTCATGTCTACCGGGAACCCTGAAAGTGACCTTATGATGCCACTCAGGATTAGGGTACCCCCTAAATCTAATGAATGGCGTTTTT